ATTCTTACAGGTCAAAGTTAACACCCAAGGATTCTTACAGGTCAGGGTTAACACCCAAGGATTCTTACAGGTCAGGGTTAACACCCAAGGATTCCTACAGGTCAGGGTTAACACCCAAGGATTCTTACAGGTCAGGGTTAACACCCAAGGATTCTTACAGGTCAGGGTTAACACCCAAGGATTCTTACAGGTCACGGTGAACACCCAAGGATTCTTACAGGTCAGTAACACCCAAGGATTCTTACAGGCCAGGGTTAACACTGAAGGATTATTACAGGTCAGGGTTAACACCCAAGCATTATTACAGGTCAGGGTTAACACCCAAGGATTCTTACAGGCCAGGGTTAACACCCAAGGATTCTTACAGCCCAGGATTAACACCCAAGGATTCTTACAGGTCAGGGTTAACACCCAAGGATTCTTACAGGTCAGGGTCAACACACAAGGATTCTTACAGGTCAGTAACACCCAAGGATTCTTACAGGCCAGGGTTAACACTGAAGGATTATTACAGGTCAGAGTTAACACCCAAGGATTCTTACAGGTCAGCGTTAACAACCAAGGATTCTTACAGTTCAGTAACACCCAAGGATTCTTACAGGCCAGGGTTAACACCCAATGATTCTTACAGGCCAGGGTTACCACCCAAGGATTCTTACAGGTCAGGGTTAACACCCAAGGATTCTTACAGGTCAGGGTAAACACCCAAGGATTCTTACAGGTCAGGGTTAACACCCAAGGATTCTTACAGGTCAGGGTTAACACCCAAGGATCCTTACAGGTCAGGGTTAACACCCAAGGATTCTTACAGGCCAGGGTTAACACCCAATTATTCTTACAGATCAGGGTTAACACTGAACGATTATTACAGGTCAGGGTTAACACCCAAGGATTCTTACAGGCCAGGGTTAACACCCAAGGATTCTTACAAGTCAGGGTTAACACCCAAGGATTCTTACAGGCCAGGGTTAACACCTAAGGATTCTTACAGGCCAGGGTTAACACCCAAGGATTCTTACAGGTCAGGGTTAACACCCAAAGATTCTTACAGGCCAGAGTTAACACCCAAGGATTCTTACAGGTCAGGGTTACCACCCAAAGATTCTTACAGGTCAGGGTTAACACCCAAGGATTCAAACAGGTCAGAGTTAACACCCAAGGATTCTTAAAGGTCCGGGTTAACACCCAAGGATTCTTCCAGGTCAGGGTTAACACCCAATGATTCTTACAGGTCAGGGTTAACACCCAAGGATTCTTACAGGCCAGGGTTAACACCCAATTATTCTTACAGGTCAGGGTTAACACCCAAGGATTCTTACAGGTCAGGGTTAACACCCAAGGATTCTTACAGGTCAGGGTTAACACCCAAGGATTCTTACAGGCCAGGGTGAACACCAAAGGATTCTTACAGGCCAGGGTTAACACCCAAGGATTCTTACAGGTCAGGGTAAACACCCAAGGATTCTTCCAGGCCAGGGTTAACACCCAAGGATTCTTACAGGTCAGGGTTAACACCCAAAGAGTCTTACAGGCCAAGGTTAACACCCAACAATTCTTACAGGTCAAGGTTACCACCCAAGGATTCTTACAGGTCAGGGTTAACACCCAAGGATTCTTACAGGTCAGGGTTAACACCCAATGATTCTTACAGGTCAGGGTTAACACCCAAGGATTCTTACAGGCCAGGGTTAACACCCAAGGATTCTTACAGGCCAGGGTTAACACCAAATTATTCTTACAGATCAGGGTTAACACCCAATTATTCTTACAGGTCAGGGTTAACACCCAACGATTCTTACAGATCAGGGTTAACACCCAAGGATTCTTACAGGTCAGTAACACCCAAGGATTCTCATAGGCCAGGGTTAACACTGAAGGATTATTACAGGTCAGGGTTAACACCCAAGGATTCTTACAGGCCAGGGTTAACACCCAAGGATTCTTACAGGTCAGGGTTAACACCCAAGGATTCTTACAGGCCAGGGTTAACACCCAAGGATTCTTACAGGCCAGGGTTAACACCCAAGGATTCTTACAGGTCAGGGTTAACACCCAATGATTCTTACAGGTCAGGGTTAACACCCAAGGATTCTTACAGGCCAGGGTTAACACCCAAGGATTCTTACAGGCCAGGGTTAACACCAAATTATTCTTACAGATCAGGGTTAACACCCAATGATTCTTACAGGTCAGGGTTAACACCCAACGATTCTTACAGATCAGGGTTAACACCCAAGGATTCTTACAGGTCAGTAACACCCAAGGATTCTTATAGGCCAGGGTTAACACTGAAGGATTATTACAGGTCAGGGTTACCACCCAAGGATTCTTACAGGCCAGGGTTAACACCCAAGGATTCTAACAGGTCAGGGTTAACACCCAAGGATTCTTACAGGCCAGGGTTAACACCCAAGGATTCTTACAGGCCAGGGTTAACACCAAAGGATTCTTACAGGTCAGGGTTAACACCCAAAGATTCTTACAGGCCACGGTTAACACCCAAGGATTCTTACAGATCAGGGTTACCACCCAAGGATTCTTACAGGTCAGGGTTAACACCCAAGGATTCTTACAGGTCAGGGTTAACACCCAAAGATTCTTACAGGTCAGAATTAACACCCAAGAATCCTTACAGGTTAGGGTTACCACCCAAAGATTCTTATAGGTCAGGGTTAACACCTAAGGGATAGCAGTGTGCCAATTTCCAGAGCAACTTAGCTGTAGGTACACCGGCTATTCCGTTCCATGATCAGTATGCAACGAGCAGCATTAAATATGAGTATAACTCAAGGTTCAATGGAATATTTTTTTCATAACTTTTGACTTTCAGTGCACTATTGATTAAATGTACATGTAATGAGGTTTACGAAGTATAACACCGATTACATGGAAAAGCACTGTAAAATGTTTTTTTTTTACAAGTAATGACTGCAAAAGCAGACCTTCCACAGAGATATTCTATGCATTACACAATGTGCTTAATCATATAATTATCATACGACTTTAAGGTCCTTATGTTGTGGAAATGAAGGATGGAGTATGGCGATGCTTCCTTCGTGTTGACTTCAGGAAGTAGTCCAAGACTCAATGTAAGATGGGAACATACACAGCCATAACCGATAAACACCGCACCACTTGAGAAGGACTACCCCCCCACCACCATCGTAAGCGCTACGGGATCCTCACAGTGATTAACGATCCGAATCATAATCGATGAGTGTCATGTTGCCACCAGGAAGACAGCTGACAAGTGTGAAGCCCAGCAGAGCTAAACAACACCGGCGTAAACAGAGCTGCACTTGCGGGCTGTGGTGACAGTAAAACTCTGATAAGGCATGTACTCCACAGGCACAATAATGCTGATATTTCTGTCAAAATTATGGTGACAAAGATGTTAAGTCTTTGCAATTTTTGAAATTGGTTCCATTCTGCTCTCAAACAAATTGTTTCTGCTAATCTCAACAGAAGGAGGCAGTGAATGTTTACACCACGGCCACCGTATACTGAATAGTGAGTGCCCATGAGTAAGCCTTCTCTTCCAATCCCACTTAATTTCTAAAATAACTTTCAGTGTATTATCAGCACACTGCACCACCCAACCCAGTGATCCTGGTTTTTTTCCCAATGCTGTGGTAACTGAGGGTCTCTGCCTAGGTCAGTGCAGCCAGCAATGAGTCAATGATACTGGAAGCACAGCGATGCTTAAATATGCCAGGTGTATTGGACAACAGGTCACAAGCAGAGCCAAAACAAAACAAGAAAAGGGTTCGTAGACCGCATTTGTCTCTGGTGATCATCCATGACTTTTCAAGGCTTACTTTCATCACGGGTCTAAAATTGTATAAATAGCTCATTTCACCCAGAGTAATAGCTGAATTATCCCCAACTCCATCGTTTCATGATTGAAATTAAAAAATGCTCTATCTGCCTCTTACCCTCTGCTCTGTCCTGTTCTTTCGTCCTCTGTTCACAGGCAAATTCCTTTCACTTTATCGAGTTACTTTGATGAAAGGTGGCTTCATGAAATTAGACGCAGTTTAATGTTGGTCAAAGTGTCCAGGTCATATGCAATTTTAATATTCCACCATAAATTAAAGGGGATTTAAAAGCTCTTCGCCATGGAAACAGAGTTATTCTCTCTTTGAACTCCCAGTTCTAACCCAAGAGACATCACATTCTGATTAATCCTCTGATTTTTTATTTCTTTATTTTCATTCTATCACTTGGCAACACTGGAACAAATAAACAATGAGGTTACTCTATTACCAATCCATTTACGAAGACTGCCTTTTACTCTTGTATTCTTTCAAAATGTAAAGGGACATTGCATACATGTGTGCATGGGTCTCTCAACCACACTACTAGGCCAAAATTGTAATTAGTGTGGTGCACCATCACAAATAAGACTCACAGTAGCACACAATTGTTTTGATTATATATGGCATATTCATCCATTCATTTGCTAGCTGTAAATCAAAATTGCTTTTCATGAGTATGGCAATCAATGCATTTGGGGTTTCACTACTTTCCTATTCCAACCTGAATCAACTGATATGGGTCAGGGCTTTATAATGTGGTGAACCACCAAAGCGGAATCTGGCCAAGTCATATTGTGACTCGGTTTTCTTGACTTGCTATCAGAGGCTGCAAGTTCAAATTCCATTAAATGTACAATTTAGCCCATCATTGCGCTGGGGTAAATAAAATGTCTTCCAATTTGTGGAAAATAAACTGTGGTTGTCCTGTGAAGTGAAAGGCACTTGTCATAACAATGTGGAACTTTAACCAGTGACTCAGGGCATTAAATATATATTAACATAACCTCATGCTCAATTAAGCAGGAACTCATTTTGACCGGCTCACATGGTCAGATTGAGAACCCGACAAAACAGCTGCTAAATCATATCGCCTTGGCGATTTTTTTCATCATTTGTGCTCTTGGCTTCAATTAAAAAAAACTGTTGCGTAGAAAAATAAACTTTTTTTTTAAATATGCCCACCTCCTTCTTCTCCTCGCTGCTCTTCCAGCGGATGTGCGCGTTTGCTGCCGCCATAGCTTCAACAACAAACGTCGTGGTCACGAAGCTTTGAAGACAAACAAACATGCAATTTGTATTAGGACTGCATAGGTCTTCGCAGTTGTGCTGTACAGCTCTCCAAATGTGTTTCCAGATTGTACCGTGTGCTGTTCTGCACGATGTCCAACATTCTGCTCCATGTTCTGTGAGCTTCTTCAGGAATGTCAAATGTTGGATATCATTCAAAACAATGTACGCTACAACCCCAAAAATGTATCAAAGCACTATGTAATCAGAATCATCATTATAATATTGCATGGTGTGTTTAGGAAATAACCTCTTTTAAAAGGGTACTGGTTTGGTGAACTAATAGAAATTAAAGCCTCAGTCTTTGGAAACACTGCTGACCCTATTTGATCCATTCATTCCCAAAAGGCTAAACAATACAAACAGTAATTAAAACCCCTAAACAAAGCAAACAGCAATTTAAATGTACAACATAAAAAGTAATGGACTGCACTAATCCCAAAACAAGTATATTTCCAATGGGACCATGCTAATTGTTAATGAGGTTTCAACTAGTCATTAAAAATTTTCTTCAATGCCAAGCGTCTTACTCAATCTTGCATACATTGCGAGCGACTCTTAATTCTGGAACAGTACATTGATTCTGGGCCAGCAATGGCATTCACACAATATTCCACACACACTCCTCCATCCCACCACTTCCCCTGGTATTCCATTGTCATCAAGATTAGGGGTCACGATTCTATTCAATAATCAATCATATTTCATGTATTATTGTAATGCGTGTATCGTATTGTTTGGTCTCATTTATTCCATTATCTGACGGGTGACATGCATAAGTACAGAATAAGTGAGGCAAGGGCAGGACACATCGCAAGAAGATGACCAATGGATGAAACTGGTGATGGAATGGCAGCCAAAGGAGAAAATGTGTCCAAGAGGATGACCACTGTTGAGATGGAGAGATGAGATCAGCTCATGCATATGATGGATTGTGGCATCACACGACCGAGACAGATGCTGACACCATAGAGGCCTTCATCCAGGAGTGATTTGACAATGGATAATGGTTATGAAGGCATAAAAATGAATTAATTAAAAACATATTCTTCCATGCAAACCTTTGTGGATAGACTGAGTATAAGAATTAACTTAATTGATGAATCAACGTATGCCTCACACACGCATTTTAGGCTGAGCCGTCTAAGGTCTGGCTAGATAGAAGAAACACTTCTCCACCGATGTGCATGTACACACACACACACGACACACAAACTGATTTGCAGTATTTTTTCCAAGATAAATGATCCTTAAAGGCAGAAAACACTGCAATAAAAGCAGCATGTAAAATCTCATGCAATGTTAACTTAACTCTCAAGCCAGAATGGCAAGAAAAAGCAAACCTATGGGTGTGATAGTCTTATGAAGCACCGTGGATGAAATACATTTAGTAACATTTCACAAAGTATGCCTTGGTTCCCCACTGCAAAATGCATTCCGGTTCAATTGCTTTATGGATTAGCATGAGTTTTATTTACAACATTGTGTCGCCTTAAATGCATTCTTCATGGTTGCGTGGATTTTATATGGTTAACCCATTTTTGTTCATGACAACTAAAGCAATTATCAATTCTCACTGAAGGACCAATAGGTAAGATGCCTCTTGTTTGTAAAAATGCTGTCAGTTACAGACATTACATGCAAATTGTAAAATAAATACACATAAGACTTCAGAGTGCATGATTTATCACAACAGCATATGATTGGCTTATTAGTACAAAATTATATCAATGAGCAGCTCAATTACTCTACACTCTTTGCAGACTTAACTTCTTCCTTTTGGAGTAAATTTACCTTAATAGAATGGTTGAATTCCCCATTGACTAGCTAATGAAAAGTTTGCAAGGTGAGGCCAAAAGTCCAATTAACAGGGGCGCAACCATCAGCTGAAATGGAGAGCTGGCTAGTTATTAACCGTTTAATAAACCGGGTAAGACTGCCCAAAAAAAACTAATTTGCAAAGTATCTTTACTTCGCACTACAGTGTGCAAGTTAGTGGAAATAAGAATTTATGGAAATGTCGTTGATGAATGGTGGCACATGTTCCACCTGTACTTCTCACTCTGGCACCAGATTCCTACGCATACAAAGAAAAGGCAAAGATCTCCCACGTTTAGCCTTTACAGACTTTTTGGGGCTAGTGCTGTGAGCAAGCGCCTTTTTAGGGCCGGTATGGCACACGACTAGGTAGGTGGCCAACACAACAGGCCCAACCGTCTTTGTTTCCCAAGTGCTGATGTTTACACACTGCAGCAGGTACTTATTTAAGGCTGAGTCGAGCAGTTCAGACTTTCGCCACTGTTATTGCTACACTACCGCTACCCCACCACACACCCAGACAACGGTCGTCATTTGCCACTTAGTGGTGGTGATGTCATCACAGTGCCTGTGTCAGGACGAACATATTAACACTCAAAATACATATAGACGACCATTTATAGATACCTCATGAAGGCGAGGAGGATGAGGAGGAAGAGGCTGACGAGCCAACCAGCCATGCCAAAGGCCTTGGGCATCGTGAGTGCTCCAGTCCCCACGATCAGGTTAAACATGTACACCAGCCCCACCTGGTGGCATACAGACACAACGTAAAGGATCGTCCATCTCACCTCATGATGATGACTGCCGGGAGAGTCCAAATAGAATGGATAGCAAATGGGTTTGAATAGGACTGGTGGGACCAATCCTGGCTATGCAACATTTTCCACGCTTAGAACAGACCATGGACTGAGTCTTGTGTTGCATGTTTAGTCAGGTGTTGTTTATGGAGTCTCTTCTACTTGGTATCCTCCATGCATTGGATTCAAAAGTTTCCATAACAGCCTCGCATACCACATGGGCAAGTACTTTTAGGGAGCACCTACTAAAGCCCACGTGGCACACAAAAGGGTGGTGTAGCCAGAACCACACCTGGCCCTCATTGTATCTCCAGTGTTAATATTTACAAATCGCCCCAGCTACTTATATAGGGCTGAATCAACCTTGCCACTGATGTTACACGTGGCTGAAAATCGAGCCCAGGTTTCCAGGATCGTAGTGCACCACAGCAGCACAGATTTGTGCACAAACCCAACGAGGTAATCTAACTATGAAAACAAACAAAGACAAGTGACATAACAGCAAGTATAACTACACAGCATGCAAACAGATTCAAGAGTGCACGTGTAATATACTACTGCACCAATGAATAAAAAAATACTTTAGTACATTATATGCATGCAATAGCTCACACAGGTTATTTAATTTATCAATAAAGTCACACCATCATTAAATTTATAATGAATTAAAATTATTAACGCATAACGTATAGAGGCTTCAAAAAAGCATTACTCCAGGTCAGCGATCCCTGAAATGCTAAATTCATAAAGCAACTATAACCAACTCTAGAGCTGGAATGTTATTGGAGCACAACATTGACCCATTGATTTTGTTAATGCAATTTTCCAAGCAAAGAATAATGGTAAAATTAGATTTTAGATGAACCCCTATTTCTATCCAAACTGTGGGAATTAGTCTTCTCCCCATTTGTCTAAATAGTTATATTATGTAGATTTAACCCATGCCATTCTGAAGACGATAATGTAATGTGACATTGCATTTAGCCAAATGAGGACCTCTGCTTAAAATGTGTTTATAATGAGCCTTACACACATACAATTCAAGCACTGAGTGGTAATATTCATAATAAAGGTTTTTGGGTTAGATTGCATATTTATAAATGTGTCGCAACCCTCCACGACCCAACACAGCCAATCAGTAAAAAATGTGTCACGTTGACAAAAGACAAATATTTCACTAATAGATCAGTAATCAACCACTTAGCATGTCACTCACCTGTAAGGAATTGCAATGTCATCTCAGCTCATTACTTACGAGTTCAAATCCCATGCAGATATCATATCAGCTCATCACTAACGAGTTCAAAGCCCACGCAGATATCATCCCAGCTCATCATTAACGAGTTCAAATCCAACACAGATATCATCCAAGCTCATCACTAACTAGTTCAAATCCCACGCAGATATCATCCCAGCTCATCACTAACGAGTTCAAATCCTACACAGATATCATCTCAGCTCATTGCCTCTTCAGAGTCAACAATGCGAGGACCATTTTCGGAGGAAGTTAACAGTGGTAATTGTATGGATCGCCTGGCCTTTACCCCAAGAAAATGGAATTTCTACCACTGGCTAAAAGCCAAGAAAGGATAGTGTGTCAGTACCACCAAATTCCTTATTTGAACAGGAAAAACAGTTTGATTTCACTGATATGTCACTTTCCATCACTACTAACAGAGTGAAATTTCATGTACTTGCAGGTATTAGTGTTTAACCTTCAGACATCACTTGTGCTGTTGTTTCATGTTTAAATGTATTCACATTCAATACAATGAAGTTAAAGTTTGTTTATAATAATTTAAACACCTAGTGTGACAGCAGCCAAATAATCACAGGGCTTCTGTGCCAGCCAGGGTAATATTAAAGTTTGAATTTATAAAGCATCTAAGTACACCACAACTCAAGTCTATTATCATTGACTATTTGACACTGGTGGAATATTGCCCATAAAATAAGTCGGAAACAAAGTGTAATAACTATTCAGTACTCAAGACACAATGTCTTGACCCATGAATAAAGATGCTGACAAATGCAAATTACTCTTTACTAGTGCAAGGGCATACATGACACCAGCAGTCAAGTTAACAAAAGTACCTGGTGTTGTCACAAGCCAAAAGGTTAGTGTCCCCAAGTTGAAAGCAGTAAAAGGCCACTTGCTCATCACCACTGTCAGCCCTTGGCAAGTGCAGGAAATTCCACATTCTAGTGGTGTGGGCCAGTCTATATACAGAACGATCACTGTTGACTTCCCACGAAAGTGTAAATCGTTTTATCGATGAAGGAGAGATGTTAGGCCGAGTCAACCTTAAAATTAGATTGAGGGTTGACGCAGGCAATCTTCAAACTGCACCCACCCAGATTGATGCCTCAATGGAACATTGCAATACAGATAGTTCAACTATATCTCTTATCAGCAGATACAACCAAATTGTACAGATTTACATGTATTTAATTACATATCACTGGTGACTCTTTACCCATGAGCAATGGATTAACACTACTGTTGCGAATGTTCTAACTAAACAATAGCAAATATAGTAATTTAACAGGCATATTATATAAACCACCAGGAAAATATAGAAACTCAATAGACAGACAGAAATCCATCTCTCCATAATGATAATTTTTAAAAATGTAATGTTTCAGTCCCCCTGACTACTAGCCCTTCAGAAACAATGTTTTCCTGTGGCATGTGTTTGTGCAGTAAAGTCTGTAATGGTCCCATTGAGTTAATGTATGAGTGTATGATTACTGTATATTTAAACTTAAACTTCCAAAACAAACCGAGGAAAAAATAACTGCCAATTCTCATATATTGGCAAACAAAATTACCATTCGCACTAACAACGGTGACCATCAGACTTATGTGAATTTCTTTTGGTATCAATGTTTTGGAATTGTCCATTAAAAGTTTGCATTTGCCAAGTTTAAACAATGAACATGGGTGACAATGCAGCCAGAGATAATAATGCTTGTTTTGGCCAATGTATTTTGCGAATATTTTTTTTACCACATTTAAAGTCCTGTTCTCAAACATGTATTATTATTTTGTAGGAAGCATATAGAGTTAACTAAACTCAACTATTTTTTTATTTACCAGGTAAGGCCCATTGAGCTATATAGCCCTTTATCAGAAGTGGCCTGGTCACAAATTAAAGCTCAACGAAGTGGCTTATCATGTGAAAATGTATAGCAGCCAAATAGTCTAAACACATGTTTCTAAATGTGGAGGGAAAAACCGGAGGGCCCAGTGAAAAATACATGCGACCAAGGGGAAAACACGCAGCAAACTCCAAATATACAGGCATTGGGGTCGGGTTTGAACCCACAACCTCCTGTATAGCTGGCGAGGTAGTCAACTTCTCGCCACCGCACGTACGGTGGCGAGATATCAGGTGCACGCTTTGAGCTAAACTGCACTCGTGATGCCATACTCACAAAAGGTGAGTAGAGTTCTCCCGTATCGGTGATGTCACCAGCCATTGCGGATGAGTTTGAAGTACTTCCAAGTGTCTGTCAACAACGCACCAAGCCACGCATGCACGTGACTTGAGAGAAAAACAGAACTTCCTCAGAGCACAGAGAGTGACCTGCAAGAGAGAAAAACACAATAGCACAATGCAGAGGTGTGTCAACCTGGGTCATAAACACAGCAAAAGGGGAACAACACTGGGCAGATTTACATCTTTGAATGACTCAAGAGTAATATGCAGCAGTATATACAGTAAGTGCTTCAATGACTTTAGGGTACTGTGCTTTTCTCTTAGTTTGTTGTTTCAAAAAGAAGAGTTCACAGGTTAAGAGCAAAACCTCTTCGAGCTATTTTAAGCAATTGTGCACAGGTCTATAAGGAAATGACAGAGAGAAATCTATACTGTTTTTAAGCAGGTAAGATAAACACAAGATAAACATCAAACTCCACGGGCAGAAAGCTCGTAGGTATCCACTGCTAATTTGTGCAACTTCTATCCTGTACCAACATGCTGAGCCTATGCACATCTCTCTGGCACCAATCTATCATGTCATCCAGCCATTCTCTGCAGGGTCTTCTTCCACTTCGCCTCCATGATTCCCTCAATTCCAGTTTTTATTTTCCTGTTGTTCTCCATTCTGCATGTGCCCAAACAAACTCAGTTTCCTTCTCATTACCACTTGCATCAAGTGTCGTGTTATGTTGAGCCTTTTCTCACTTCTACATTTGTCACTCTTTGTGTCCAACTAAGATCCTTCTATAGCAGTGCATTTCAAATGGCAGTATTTTGTCCTTATTATTTTAGTGTCCAAGTTTCACAGGCATACAAAGCTGTGCTGAAAGCGCATGTTTTTAAGATACTCAGAGCTTGTTTTTTTAGCTAATTTGCTTGTTTCTGTATATGTTGTTAAATCCTGCCATTACTCCTTTTGCCGTCGTGATTATTGCTCTTATTATGTTCTTTGTGCAGTCATTGTCCCAGGTCAATATGCTTCCCAAGTAGACACATTTCGTACATTCACTGTTGGTTTCCTGTCATTATTTCCTTCTCTATGTGTTTGCTTCCAAACACCATCGTCTTTGTTTTTTCCACATTGATCCTCAGTCCTGCATTCGTTGCTGAATTATTCAGTGTATGAACACTTTCTGCAACAATTTGCATATTTCCTCTATCAAATCTATATCATCTGCAAATCTAAATTATGTATATGTTCACCATGTATCGATATACCTGTTCCATTGTCTTAGATTCAATCCATCACCCTTTCCAAGTATGTAACAAAGGTTCATCTTCTTTGGTTCTTTCGGTAAAGTCACGTAGAATGAGAATAAAATAATAAATTGATAAAATAAAATAACACAATAATATTCTCACGACGTTTAAAATGTAACAAAGGTGTTTGGTATTATTGCATCTCCTTGTCTTGTCCCTATGGTCGCTGTGAACCATTCTCCTATTTCCTGTCCAATCTTTACTGCTGACTTTGATCTTTCACCTTTATCCTGCAGAATCTGCGTATATCTTTTTCCTATTCTATATAAATTGAACATCGCCTACATTATGTCCTGCTTAATCGAACCAAAGGCGTTTTGATTTGAATACTTAATATTCGAATAAACATCTGTATTCGAATATAAGCCCTGAGGGATGATATATTCATACCAACAGAAGGAAATAAGGAACAGAAAACATCTAAACAATAAAATTTAAAAAACTATAGGGACACTACTTTAACATAAATTACCAACAAATGAGCAGTTGTTTTCTTCGTATATGAGCGGTTATTGAAAATTTACTATAGTTATAATCTCGATGATACATTTTTTTCTCCATTGGGAATTGAGGGAATTATTGATACTTTACACAAATCTGTTGCATAAAAAGGACTATAAGAGCCAACAGGAGTATATGGGCCTCAATACAGTCACTGCCATTCTCATTCCAAAAGACAAAGATCCCCCGTTAGCCTTGACAGACTGTTGGGGCAAGTCTTGTTAGTGAGCACCTATGAAGGCCGGCACAACACACGATGGAGTGGGTGGCCAGAACCACGCCCGACCGCCTTTGTCTCCCCAGGGGCAATTTTTAAACACTGCACCAGGTACTCATATGTGGGTGAGTCGACCTCGGGGAGGCCCAGGGCCAGTTTAGATAATCGTCACTAGTGTTGGCCGCGAGCGGGAATCCAACTCGGGTCACCGGGTTCATAGCGCAACGCGCTAACTGCTGCACCAGCCCAATACCAATACCCGCTATTTACCACCAAGTTACATCACCATGGCGCCTGTGCCAGGCCAGGTGCACTTTGATGCCACGTGAAGTGTCGAAGGCTCGCTGACAGGATGTCTCGGGACAGCCCCAAGTGCCATGGGTTGGCTGACTGAGATCACTGGTAGATGCATCAGCTCTACCCTCTACTGTGCCAACTTGCTGCATATTAGTCACAAGGCGCTCCGCTCGTTGTTGTGAGCGTCGCTCCACTGCCCTCCGTTGTTGCAGGAGGGCGACTGCCTCCAACTGCCCAGTAGCGTCCTTCACGAGCCTCCTCCATAGAGGCCGATCTTGACACCGCTGGTACCAGTCGTTGGCAAGTCCACTTTACTCTACATCCTCCCGTACCGCATCAGTCCATCTCTTCTCCAGCCCATGTCGTGCCCGTTTAGCCCCCTCTATGCGGCCAAACAGAAGCTGCTTGGGCATGCGGGCTACATGACCCGGCCCTCGACCACCTTCACCTGCAAACCTTTCTCAAGTCTTGAAACCTCATGCCTTATTGTTTCTGACATTCTCATATTGTATTCCTCAGTGCCGTAAGAAGACAGCAGTGGGAACCATCCATCCCATCTGAGGATCACACATGGTACAGTACATAGATGCATTGACATACACATACAAAATTCAGGCCCTTAATGGCAAGAGCTCCAACTCAGCAGAGTAAACGCTCTCCTGATGACTATGTTAATTTCCTTGTATCATCCGCCTTGTCTGAAGAGTGCGTATTCATGAGTTATGTTTTTTTGTTGCCAACCAGAGCAAGTGAACAAATGTATCCAGCATATCCAAAATATATTGTTATACATGTATGTTTAACTTATTTTGGACCCAACCATGCTAATCGGAGGTGCGGGGTAAGGCCACCAAACGAAGCGCAAAAGGAAGTTCAGTTGGTTGTCCTTCCCCAGCATCTATGCTCCTACACCTATGCTCCCCTCTTTCACCAACCTATACGGGGACAAGCGTGGGTTAAGAAACCTCAATGACAGCCATGGCATGGCGACCCTCAATCCTGCAGTGGACTCACAAAGGGATGTGCGTGGTACCTGTATTTAAATAAGTAACATTTAAAAATACTTTTTTTTAAACACGCTTTCATGAAATGTACCGTACTCGTAATGCCAGAACTCCACGACTCCAGGAAGTGGCCCCAAAGCTTGCCATAACGTAAAGGGCCGTGGTGATTTACAGCCAACGTCAGTTGAACGTGGACAATTAGACCCAAGCCGAAACATAACATATAAAAAATAATGTTTAAAAATATTTATTTTTAATAGAATATAGTATTGTCATCAATATGACATAAGTATACCAAGTTTGCAGTCGATACCACATTGGGAAGTCGGTTACAATTGAGTTACAAGATTTGAGGATACAACAGAGTTAAATAAAAGCGTGTAATAAAACACATTCCATTGGCATGTGTTGTTGTATTACCAGAATCCTGGAGCTTTACCGATGCTCCTCTTGTAAACTGAGAGGTGAGCAACCACAATACTTGACTGTACAATTAATTATTTGTATTTCATCGGTTAACGATTCTTAAGTTATAGTTATAACATGCATGGAATTGAGTGTTGCATCAAATAGGTTCACGTGACACATGCCGAGCCACGAGAGGCCGTTACACGCACCACAATGATAATTACATAACCGTTTTAATTGTGCGGGGAGCACCGTGAAACATCTCCGAGTTTAGTTGTAACGTATGGGTCATGACACGTGTTGGAATTGATCTCCACCTTTCTTAATGGGCCACTAAACTGCCTCCGGAAGCGTTCATCTCTCTCGGCGAACCACGAGCCAGCAATAATTCCACATTCCCATGGTAGGGGTGAGATCAACCAGTAACAATATGTACCCTACGTCTTCATTAACAAACCGCGGGAGAAACCATGTATAACGATTCACGGTTATTAAACCAAACCCATCATCCCTCATGCCTAGGTGGCCGATAAAACACAGCACAACTTGTGGAAGGTCAGCAGTGGTCGTTCGACAATCTGGCTGATACACAGGAACGTGGAATGTCCACCACTGGTTCACAATGCATGTAAACCAGTGCACAGTGTGAACCATACGCACCCTCCTCACCGAATATGACGCTGGCTGGTCGCCGTGGGAACGCGTCGTCCTAATAAGCCGTCGCTACGGTAGCCGGTTGCCCTGGTAACTGGTCGTCCCGGTAACCGGTTGCCTTGGTAACCCGCTGCCTGAGGTAACCGGGTAACACTCACAGCCTACCGCTTTGAACGCCGCCCCGCTTCCCGGTTTTGTCACGTGGCGGGTGCTTCGGCGGTCACGTGACTTACAACGTGGGGCGGGGGGGCGACGACGACTTCTTCATGTGACCGGGCTGCCGGGCGGACGAGCCCGTGCAGTCAGTCACGTGAGCCCGCGGCGTGCTACGAGCCGCTATTTTAGGGGCGGGGCTTTAAACGCGTTTGGGAGCGGAACTCAATGTTGAAGGGGCGGGGCCCGTTGGGCTGGGCTAACATGGGTGGACGGGGTTAATCGCTGTGGGCGGAGCTATATGGTTAAATAGGCGGGGCTAATGTGGGTGGGCGGAGCTGTCTATTGAAACAGAAGGGGGCGAAACCCTTAGCGATTTTAGGTTCCGGAGAGTCAGATTTTCGTTCCGAGCACCACGAATGTTCACGTCCGGAGGGAAACGCGTCACGCAGCGCTTCTCCTCCCCAGCTGGCCTTGAGTGGCGCGCTGCTCTCGGTTGACCTGCGGGGAGCGGGCGGGTTTCCCGGGCGGGTTCGCCCGCCGCGTTTCGCCGCCGCCGCCACCACCGCTGCCAACTCTAAGCGAATGAAAGCGAAGAGACGAGATGCGAGTGAACGCCAAAACGCTGCTCGAGGGCCGCCACGTGGTGCTGGTCCCCTACGAGAGGGAGCACGTCCCGCGGTACGATGCCATTGCTTTGGCCTGGAGCCCGTGAGTCAAGCGGGTTTGGCAGGCACCACATGGGGTGGTAAATCCCACGAGTGCTGTACTGTTATCCGTCATGGATAGTCACCCACCATTCGTTCGTGAGCCCAGACCACATGTTTTTTTGTCCATACCACCTAAGGGAGCAGAACTTTAGCGGTTCCAATTTACGTGATTCAGTGAATTGTGGTAACCATCTGAAATTAGTGGGTTATCAAATAATTCACAACCATCCATATAAATCGACAATTTTTTTAATCTTTAGATGGTACCAATTTCAGTCTGCTTTGTCCTACCGACGTATTGTGGTGGCAGTCGACCATGAGCTTGAAAGTATATACAGTTTATCATATTTATATAATCCTATTAATTTCATTCCCCAGATTTTTTTTCCAGAACGATATTCTCCGGCAAAACACTGTTGTCAGATCCGACCCTCGGGTGCGGCGAATCGGGGCAAATGCCCCGGGCTCCGCGCTTTGGGGGGCTCCGCGCCTCCACGGTGTCGGATGTAATACTTCCCGTTTCGTTTGAAGGGGCCGGGGGGCCCCACATGCCCTCGATCGACGGCCTTGACTGTTACTAGAACATTTTTCTCATAGAAAAAGCTACAACGATATCTTTAATGTCATTGATAATTGGAATCTGAAGATAGAATGCGTCAAGAAAATCATGGGTAGCATATTCCACCCGAGATGGTACCGGACAGGCAATTTTCGAGGCCGCATTCAATCAAAAGACCACTGGGGCACGTTGACAGCGCGCGATGTCGCCCCTTTTTACACCGGAGTGCTGCTGCTATTGGGCCTCGTGTGAGACTTGATTTGACTTGATTGCTTAATTGAGCCATTATCCATAATTTAAGTAATAGCTTTAGCTGTGGTTTGTGAGATAGTTTGAACACTTTCTATTGTGCCCGAATTGCGTGGTGCTTTTTATGCATAATAGCGCAATTTGATTTTGAATGCATTGTTTGTAATTGTATCACCTTTGTGTTCCTATTAGCCTTGTGTATTTTATACCAGATTCATCAAGTGAAATACCTTGAATATTGAAACGTGTTCATTTCATTGCGTTATGCATGGCTATGTGTTTGCCCTAATTTAGTACATGTGCCCTTGTTCATGTGTTGTTTATTTTTCGTCGCAAATACCATTGCCCTAGTATACTTATTGTGCTTGTTTACTCAGGAAATCCTCACCGAGTCTCAGGACTTATTCAGAAGGGGGCTGCCAAATTTTCACTTGGCAATGTTGCTATGTTGTGATCCAATTAGCATATTTTAGCATTGTGTTGTTTTTGACCATTGCAGTGTTTTTAAGTTATGGCAGGAACTTGGAGGGAACCCATGGAAAATAGTGAGAAAACATAAGTCTACAGAAAGGCACCCAAGTCCGGAATCGAACCCAGGCCCTTTTTTGCTGCGAGACACAAGTGCTACCGCTGTGCCACCTGCCGCCGGCTTGTCAATCTTAATCATTTTTCTGATGCTGGTTGAATATGTAAACGTTAAAGGAACCGTTAGTCAATCAGGGTTATGGTGGAGCAAAGGCGGCAATCAAATTTCCACTTGTAGTGTTAACACATTTCATAATGTACTCGCTCATCGGCTGTACAGTGTGAAGTGTTACAACAGGAGGGTAAAGGAGCAAGCGTATCTGTGTGTTCACATGTGCGCCCTGTGTGTGTGTGTGTGCAGCTACCACATGTGGATGCAGAGCGCTGAGCTACAGAAACTCACTGCCTCGGAGCCGCTGAGCCTGGAGCAGGAGTTTGCCATGCAGCGCAGCTGGAGGGAGGATCCAGACAGTGCGAACGAGACGGCACTCGCATTTATTCACAGCCATACACGCTCGCACATGAGCACACGTACCTGCATGCACACGCACTGATATATGCACTTACATGTGGACAAGGACATCAGATCATTCACATGCCTGCACACTCACAAAGACAAAGATCACCCGTATCGCGTCTAATATATTTGTTGGGGCAAGTGCTTTTAACGAGTACCTAGGAACGCTGGAACGTCACACACGGGGGGTGGTTGGCCAGCACTCCACCCGACTGCCTTTGTCTCCCCAATAGCGATGCTTACACACCACACTAGGCATTCATTTGAGGCTGAGTCGACCTAGGGGAGGCCCAAGAACAGTTCAGATAATCGTCACTGGTGTTGGTCTTGAGCAGGAATCGAACTCAGGTGGACAAGTTCATAGCAGAGTGCTAACCGCTACACTACCACACCCCAACTCAGACATACAAGTGTAGTGTCGTGCGTCTCTTCGCATCTGCAGTACATGTGATTGTAGCATGCCCCCGTACACGCACACATACATGCACACCAACAACCACCATTCGCCACTAAGTGGCGGTGACGTCACCACGGCGCTTGTGCCAGGCTATGTGCACGTTGAGGCCACGTGAAGTGTCGAACGCCCGCTGGCAGGAGATGACTGGCTGATGCACCACCTGTGCCCCCTACTGTGCCAACTTGCTGTTCTTTCGCCACCTTGCGCTCTGCTCATTGTTGTGAGCGTCGCTCCTCCGCCGTCCGTTGTTGTTGGAGGGTGACTGCCTCTAACTGCCCAGTAGCGTCCTTCACGAGCCTCCTCTACAGAGGCCGATCTGACACCGCTGGTACTAGTCATCGGCAAGTCCACTCAGCTCCACGTCCTCCTGTACCACATCACTCCATCTCTTCTTTAGCCCGTGCCGCGCCCGTTTAGCCCCCTTGATCTGGCCGAACAAAAGCTGTTTCGGCATGCGGTGGCTGGGCATGCGGGCTAAATAACCCAGCCAACGCAGCCTTGCCTGTCCGAGGAGCTCACCGGTAGGACTTTTTCCAGATCTTTCAAGGATTTGTGAGCTCACACAATCCAGCCTTGTTAAACCCAGGATGGATCGTAGGCAGGCCAGCCTAAATGTTTCTAACCGGCGAAGATGTTCTATTCGGGGGGGTCCCCGTTTCGCAAGCGGAGAAGGGAAGGAATGACTGTAGCCAAGAAGACCTGAAGCTTTGTGCGGAGGGACAGACCAGGTAGCTTCCATACAGCGTTACGCAACCCATGAAAATATAATGCCGCTCGACTCATTCGGAGCGAGACCTCTGCTGTCAACTGTCAATGAAGCCTACGTGTTAAACTGTCAAGGAAATCGCCAAAGAGGCCAAGTGAAACCCTACTGACAATTATTCTTGAGACTCGGTAAGTATTTCAATTGGTCCTTCTTTGCTAACTGAAGCTAATGCATTGCCAGCTCAATGCAGTGCTTAACTTGGGAAATAAAGACGAATGCTCGGGCTTCAATAACTCGTAAAAGCCTCAAGGAACCATTGCTTGATATTGTCCATAATGCCAAGACTACCAAACACCACAGAGTCAATTGGAGCCAGGGATATTCTGGTACTTATGATGGCATTTGTAACAGTTTCAGTAACATTGCCTGCAGATAACTGTGCCACACGGCAGCAAAATAATTTGCGCCAAAAAATTATAAACTCTGCAAGGAACTAAAGAAGTGGTTTTATTGGTCGAAGTTAAGGACTGATTTATTTTATTGCAAGCAACGATACACCAGCAGGCTCGGGACACTGGTACAGCCTTGAAAACTTCCCTCCTCTCTCCCGTTGCCACATTCCATTGTGTGCCACCCTCCCGGAGGGACCCTTACAATTGACGACGTGTTTGTGTTGGCAGAGTGCACGTTCATTGTACTGGAGCGGGCGGCTTGGGATCGTGAGCCATGCTCGGAGGAGACCTGCATGGCTGGTGATGTTAACCTCTTCCTGACTGACCCCGGTGACCACTCATTGGCCGAAGTAGAGATCATGATTGCCGGTGTGTTCTCCGACTGGGACCCACACTAAATCATCCCAGGCCAACAAATCTGTCCTTGGAGCATTTTGCCAAAATGTCTTTAGCTGATACATGGCCATTTATCATAAGTTCAGTGCCTGGTCTGGGTCAACTCAGCCCATTACGTGTTTAATTTGTTGTCCATCCCCCATACCTCCAGTGAGCACGGTTGGCTACGTATGGTGCGAAAGAAGTTCAACATACATAATCTCTAGAAGGTTGATTAAATGAGAACCACTGTTGCAAGGCAACAGTGGTCAGCCTATATAAAGATTGGCCCTGTTATGGGAATGTGGAATTTCCTCCCCAGGCTCAAATTTGACTGTTTATGAAGAATGCCACCCCAGTGCTCATTTGACCAAGGGTACCCTTTGTTGTAATGTCGTTTATGCTCACGGTTACTTGTATCAATAATAACTTTTAATTACTTAATCTTTCGTTATATTTTCCCTCTACAGTTGTAAAAGTTATCCCGTTCAGTGATAAATAATATTTTAACAGTCAATGCCTA